GCAGGTATAAATGTTGGTCCAATCTTATTTTCATATACATCTCTGTATCATAAGGCCTTATCTTTTAGCTTATCTTTTGAAGCAGTTATTGTAAAACTAGATGAAAATAAAAGTTTTCCTGTTTCTGACATTTTAACAATTCACCTTTGCATTAATCTTGTTAGGTTAACCCAGTTGTTACGTTATTACTTTTCAACACGTACTTCTTTGCTTGACTTTGGCCTTACCTTTTATTGACAAAGCTTTCTCAAAATATTAACTATTACTGGGAATTAGTGAGATAAATTTCACTCATATGATGGAGAATATTTTCTGTAATTGCTTAAACATGAGTGTTGTATTATTTTTCTTTAAAATTAAATAAATTAAAAGTATATTTGTAAAAGAAGTGGATTATTTTCATTTTCAAGTAGAGGAAAAATTAAATGAGATAGTCTCTTAAAAGCTAAAGAACCCCCAGAAAACCACCTACATAATGTGTAGAGTAAACTATAACTTAGTATGTTAGTGAGTCATGAAAAAATTGAACAGGAAAGTAGTATATGTTATACTTGTGCTTTCTTGTTTGATTAGTTCACATCCTTAGCAGTCTTTGTGGATATTTGTGCCAAGAAGGGATCATCTTGATTGTAGACTATAGGTAAAGTTTTTGTGGAAAAACATACCTGTGTCTATAATAATTTCTGTTCATACTGAAGTCTTTCCCTAATCACTGAAGAAAAGTGTGTATCATTGCTCCCTGCTTTTTGTTTATGTTGGTTGCTTTAAAGATCAAATCATTCAAATTCCATTTACAGATAGGTGCCCATAGAAAAGACAGATTCTCTGGCTGGTGTTACCAAGGGGGACGTCCTCACCACATGTGAGGGACGTGCCAAATTTTGCAAGCGCTTTTGTATGCTCTGCCTCCACAGGTGTTCTCTTTTTAAACACTTACCTTCTGGAAGTTGTAAACATGTGGTTGTTGTTTGTTTGTTTTTTTACTTGTCCTGAACAAAAATAATCCTCTATAGAAAATTCATTACAGAATGATTTTACATAGCCATTTAATGTGGAAGATTGCATTGCAAATCTTGGTAGGCCTGGTGTTTTGGCAGTAAAGATATATCTTTCTTTAGGCAGTAAAGGAAATTTGCGAACTATTGTAAATAATATTGATTAGCTACCATCATAACAGCAGTCATCTAGGCATTTTTGCTTTATTAATCAATTTAATATAATCACTTCTATATGAGATTCAGTGCCCTCATTCTATGAGGAAACTAATGCCTAACCGATCTTCCCAGAAATGTAACTAGCAAGCAACAGCATTGAGGTTCTTAAGCCTATACATTTATTACTGTGGAGCACAACACTTAAGAAACTGCATGACTGGGGTTTGATTGCACAGGCCATCAGCAAGAAGCAGAACACTGGTGTAGTGGGGAGAAGGCTGTATTTCAAAATATGTATCAAAGTAGTTAGTATGAGGAAAAAATATGAGCTTCATTTGGCTTCCTTAATTCTTAGCTGTTGGTATAGTCCTCACACGTGCACATGTGTACACACATTCTCAGCATTTAATATGAGATAAAGTCAGAGTATACTGTGTCTCATCAGTCCTTACAGCCTTTAAAATATTATCAGTCCTGTTTATGGAAATTTCGGGGTCAAAGTAAATAGCCTATAGTTTATATAACCATCCTTGATTTGTGTTTTTGGAGGTTAAGTCTGATTTCCTTCAAGTTATACCTCATTTAAAAGTGAGCGAAAGCTCTGTTGTTAGGACTTCATGGAAATGAAAGACAGTGTTGGTCATCTCTGGTGGCAAATGGGCCTGCTGAGTGGTTAGCATTCTGTTCAAGTCAGTGTGAGGGTCTGAGGTCTCTCCACCACAACATGGGTGAACATGCCTCATAAATATTTGCGAGGCATGCTAACTCTCTTCTGTGTCAGGCTGCTTTCTTGCAAAACACTTTGAAGAGTACAGGGATGCTGCCTCATTGTTTCATGATGTGTACATTTAATGCTTTCATAAATTTAAATCCCTTTCAGAAACATCTTTTGGTATAAAAAAGTGATGTAGGATCATGGATTCAACTTAGAATTTTTATTAATACCATTTCTGTTGAACTTCTTATAAATATGCTTGGACCTCTGCTTCAAACCTGTTAAATCAGAACTCGATCTTGTATACACTTCTCCCAGCTGAATCTGGTGAATATCTGTGGTCATCAGTCTCTGAATCAATGGTGATTCTCCGAAGTGTAGCTGACTGAATGGCTGAGGGAGAATTCCAAGTTCAAGCCCAGCCTGGGCAGCTTAGGAACTTAACAAGAGCCTGTGTCAAATAAATAAGCAAGCAAGTAAATAAATAGGTAGGTAGGTAGATAGGTAGGTGGGTGGGTGGATGGACAGGGGATGCAGCACAGAGCAAAGGCCTTGGGTTAAATCTCTAGCACCCCCCCCCATAATACCCCCCCCCCCCAAGCCAGTTTTTGGACTGCAGCTTCAGTATTATCCAGGATCTTGTAAGGAATTCAGGTTTTTGTCCCTTGCCATACCCTGGCTCTCTGGATCAGAAACTCTGGGAAAGGACGGTAGTTTGTGTTTTAACAAATCCTCCAGTGACCCCTGCTTGCAGTCTTTTTAAAAGTTGCCTCAACTCTAAAATTACACAAATGCTTGTTCTGACTAACAGAAACTTCCAGGGCAAAGCTTTGTTGCCAGTCATTACCCTTGTTTGTCCAGTTCATTTGCTGTTACCTTTCTATTTTAGTATTCTTATAGAATTTATGTGTCTTCTGTTGTGAACCTTCTCAAATGCTTTGTGTGCTTTGTGGCAGAGCCAGGGCATTAATCATAAACGTTGAATAAAAAGCCTTTTATGCCATTGTATTATATTATTTAGTATTTGTGCATTTTCTTAGAATTGGCAGTTGAGGAATCACTAGCCTTGTTTGTGGGTAGGAAGCCTCCAGGTTGGTCCTGTCATGAGTTCGGCCCTTGCAACAGATGGGGCATGTTTAGGGGCAGTCTGAGGAGAGGGCCACTAGCCTTCCTCAGGGGCCCAGTTATTATCACTTCCAGTAAATAGCTCCTTCAGGTCTATGCAATGTGAGCTGGTCAGTCAGAATGGGGAATTAGCATTCTCTGCTCACTGTAATAAGACCTTGTTTTTGGCTCCCAAATGGTTTCCAGAGCTATCAAAATAATACTATTTGCAGACACTTTTCCTTGGAGGGGAAAAGGAGTATTCTTTGGGCCCTGGGAGAACTGTTTTACAGCTAGGCATCGCACATAAATGCTAACTGAATGCCCTTTCAGTTGTGTGACTCACCATTGGGTCTCATCTGTGGAAGAGCCACTCAGCAGAAATGAAGAGTACCTCACACAGGCATTGGTACTCATAAACCAGCTCTTCTTTGTGGGCTGTAAACAGCGACTTGTAGTAGGACATTGTACAATAGAATCTTGCAGTGCTGAATGGTTGGCTGCTGCCTGCTGCTCATTAGGGCTAGGCTGCCTCTTTTCCTGCAGAATAAGTGGTAGATTGCTGACACCTGTTTTCCCATCCCACCAGAGGACTCAAGTGTGAATTAGGAATGCCTGAAAGTGCTTCCTTGTGTCCACATTGGTCAAGCTTGGTGCTGCTTAGTGAGGAGATGGTGGGAGTGCATTGCTGGGAGGGGAGATGAAAAACTTAGTGACAAGAAACTGCAGTATAAACTGAACCCTCTCATCATTTAACGGCTTCTGATCGTGCTTTTAGCTCATGCTCTGACTTGATTACTCACCAAGCAAAGGAAAAGGAATGCATGGAAGAGCAGCAAGACCTCAGATGTTTCCAAATAATATGAGTATGTAGTCAAGACATTAGAAATGGGCATAAATAATTCACTCTGACACACATAGGTTTAAACATTATAGTATTTAAAAAATAAGTTTGCTCTTAAATGTGTAAAATTCATGGGTGTTGGTGATGAGTGTCTTTGCACACTTCTGTCTGTGTCTCTGCTGTAACCCATCTTTACTATAAAGTCTGTCATAGAAAGTGGCACACAGTGTAACAGGGTCTTCTGTGCTGCCTTTAGCCACTGATGAGGAGTAGATACTGTGTACAGTGCATTATGCCAAGTATGAATGGGTAAGGGCACAAGGCAGACCCCGATGATTTAAATGCTGGCTGGCTGCTATCTGTCTGGGGAAAAGGCCCATTGGAGGCAGCGTATGTAGTAAGAGGGAGCAGATACAGTGCACTGCAGCGTGTCTAGGAGTACAGGGCTCCACCTCGTGTGTTTTCAGGGGGTTGGAGAGGAAGAGAACTGCCTGGGTGTGTCAGAGGATGAACATAGAACTTAGGTGTTAAAGGATGAGGCAAATCCATTGAGAGTAAGGGATTGAGGTGTGTGAACGATACTGTTCCCTTGCCATTCTTAGAATGTGGAATTAAATTGTGTGTGTGTGTGTGTGTGTGTGTGTGTGTGTGTTTAAAGAGTGGCAGCATTTGCGCCTGACTGATTTGTGGAACTTGGCTGGGTCTCAGGCATATTGGCTTCCATTTGTGAACTGTGTGCAGGGTTAGGGTTGGGTCATGGCCTTGGACCAGAGAGTGGAATCAACTGGCTCATAATGTGCTTGAACTGATGACCCGGGCATATCACTGCTTGTGTTATAAGCAGCTGAGTCAATCAGACATCGGTATCTCTTAGAGAGAGATCCACATAGCAGTAAACAGGAACAAAATCAAAGCCAGGTCCTAACCTAGGTGTTTCTCTCTCCATCTTTGAGGTTTTATACTTGTTTCTGTATCTAATAACAATAAAGTGATGAAAACAAAAGGGCACCACGACACTCCTGTGTTAGCATTTTGACGTAATGAAATCCATGCTCATTTTTCTTGCACAATGTCAGACTGTTCTTTCTGAGGCTGTGTTGAGCAGCAATACTGTTCTCCGTGTTAGATGTGTCATGTCCCGTACACGTACGTACTGATGACGCCTCTCTCTTCTTCCCTGAAGTCCGAGCAGCCCAGCCCTGCCAGCTCCAGCTCCAGCTCCAGTTCCAGCTTTGCACCGTCCCAGACCAGGCAACAAGGTACCAAAAGCTCCTGCAAACTAGGAGACATTTCTCTCATAAAACATCTCAATGAGTTGATTTATGACCTGTCTTCTGCTGTTATTATTTGAATGGTAACTTAGCTTTTATGCAGTTGTTACTTATTTCCCTAAGGAATGCACTGGAGCATTATTCTGATATATAAAGCCAGGCTCTAAATGCCCTCTTTCCAGTACCTTCCATCAGACTCCCCTTACAACAGGATCCTAGACACAGCCCCTTCCAGGGAGTTCCCAAAGGAAATACAGTAGCTGAAGCTCAACTTCAGAGGCGTTGTTGGAGAGAAATAGGTTTTCACTCTTCCTCTTTGAATAGCTTTAATTTTATTTGTTTCTCTGCAGATCAACAGACCTTTTTTTTTTTTTTTGCAAATGTTAATTTTCTAAAATATATTTTCCTCTATTCTTGATCAAGTGTTAACCCAAACTCAGAATAAAGAAAATTAAACTGGAATGTGTAACTAATGATGTTTTTCACATATGTCTAAAAACTTCAACTATGGGCTCTTTCTAATTTTTATATAAAAATGATTTAGTACCAAAAAATAGTTTGTTGTTTAGAATCATATTGAGCCTCACCTTCACTGACCACAACTGAATTTTTAATGGCTTTGTATGTTTTGAAGAGGCTTAAATTGTGCGTGTTTGAACTAAGGCTAAGCTTCCAGAAAAAAATAAAAGATAGTGACAGTTTTGGCTGTTCACATGTCTTGTTCCACTGACTGCCAAAGAGATAAGCCCACTACAAAACCAGAGAAATTTGTATTTTCACAGTGGAGCCACAGAGAATTGATATGTATTTCAGCACTGAGAAAGTGAGAGCTCAGATAATCCTGTCATAAATTAGCCTTTAGGAAATGCCTAATCCAGATAAAAGTGCCTCTCTTTATTTCTTCATTTTCTTCACAATCTCTTGTCTTAAGATTATTTGTTTTCATCACATTTGAGTAGTAAATTGAAAAGAAGCTACATGAATGAGTGTGTGTGTGTTCAGTTCTTTCTTATCCTAGATTAAACTTAGTTACGGCTTAGTTTTTCCAACTAATACTGGGTACTCTTTTGAATTTACCATGTACTTGATTTATTACATGGTCTTATTTATGTTAATACATGCTGGTATTTTGCCAGGAATTTATTAAAAAATAAATGAAAATTGGCTGCATAAAATTGTTGCAACAATCTTCTGTCCAAGATCAATGTGAAGATCAGAGATAGGACGTTATACCATGGGATTGAAATACTTTATAACTGAATTTGCCTGAATGCTTGCTTGACCTGAAGCTGACCTTGAAATAAAAGGAACAGCTAAACCTTAATAGATCAAAAACCACCACCCAGAGGCCGCACTGCCAAGGACAAGTTACAACCACAGTGATTTATTAATCTCAACTTTCAATACATGGATTAACTTAACAAAACATCCAATTTGCCAGTCAATCTTTGTTTCTTTTTAGGTATAATTTTTCTTAGAAAAATCCTATGAAATAGAGATTCTTTAATGAACATTTGTGAACCTATTATGAAGCTATTAGTGTTTATGGATAGTATGCGTTTCAAAAACTGACAAATTTTTGTATCAATTTTTGTGCAAGGAGAGAATAATGGGTATTTTTTAACCAGTGTTCATTGCTACTAGGCATTCCCGTGTCTAATGTGGTTAAGTGTGTTTGAAGTAGTGTGTTTGATTGTTTGTGATGCACTGTCATTGATCAGGTCCCTTACGGTCTATAATGAAAGATCTGCATTCTGATGACAATGAGGAAGAATCGGATGAAGCAGAGGATAATGACAATGACTCTGAGATGGAAAGGCCTGTAAATAGAGGAGGCAGCCGAAGTCGCAGGTGAGTGTGTTGGAACGGGAGCGGTTCCCTGGGAAGGGGTCAGGGCCCTCTCAGTTACTGGCCTGGTCCCAGAAAACATGGGAAATACCGGTAATAATGGCAACAAATGTTCATTTCATTTAAAGTGAGGCACCTTGGCATGCTTACACTCACCCTATACAGGAAAATGTTTCTCCCTTTTCTCAGAAAGAAGAGGGTTTATCTTCTAGAACACTAGATATTTGAAGGTAGTATGACTGAAGGCTGAAATAGTCTATTTTCATTTGAAGAATGTGTATAGATCTGCTGCTGGAGGTAGTCTCAGGATGTGAAGAAACGTGTTTGCTATTTGTAGTTAGAATACATAATTGGTTCTAGTGGATTATGTGTGTGACCTAATTAAAATTAGGATCACCTGTGTATGTTTTCCAGAAAATAAATTCCTTTTAAGTGTGCTGACAATTAGGTTCCTTAAGTAGCTTTAATGCCGTGAGGCATAATTCCACATTATAAAATGGTAATTCATGTCACTTATAATTAATAGTCAACTTGAAATTGCCTTGAGGATTTCATTTCTTTATCATGAGGAAAACAAATAAGCATGCTCATTTTAATGTGTTTTGAAAAAATACGAATCTACCTGAACTTAAAATCCAATTACATTTGTAATATATTGCATTAAGTCTTTTTCCCATTATCCATTACTGTGTAGATGGCCCCGAAATTCCCCAAAAGAATGCATTCTTAATCCAAACCTGACAGAGCCTGTGCTTCCTAATTGGCAGTTCCTTAATGTCACTGGAGAAGAAGAGCCTCACGTCTCTCAGTGGCTGTACCTGTGGCTGTTCTCAGCACCTCTTTCTCCATTTTGTCTCCCAAACTCACTTGTCTGTATTCCTTTCACAGGACTCTTAGGGTACTGGCCTTAGAACGCTTCCCTCTAAAAATCTTTCTTCTGACAAGAAAGAAGCTAGTAGGGGGGAAAAACAACTACAAATGGACTGAAACCTGGAATTAAAGAACTTACTTAGCCTAACCAAAATCCTGACCATTGACTGCTTTCCAACTTTGCTAATGAAAGCATGCATGACTTATTTAGACAGTCTCCCAGTTTGATGTTCAGATCTGGATATTTTGTGATTAGCTGCTGCCACCACTTTGTGTCCCATCTCCAGTCAGGAAGGGTCAGATCTTACATGTTTATAAGGTGACGATGTAGACACATTGTTGGGGACACTTACCTCTTTCCTCGATCGACGTGCTATTAGCATGACATTGCCAGCATAGCATTTGATCTTTATTGCACTTGTGAAGTCTTAGCTGTGTAATCAGTTTAAATACTCAGCCTTCCACTTCAGTTGAGAAGTATTTAAAAGCAGGATTTCAACCAAACACTTCATTAATGTAATTTTGTAAAGAAAAACAAATTCCATCAATTTTTGCTAAAAGAATGTCCCAGAGTATCTTTTCTGTTTTCTATCTTGTATCTCGTCTATCTGAATGGATAGTAGAGCTAGAATGTGATTGCCCATTCAGAGTGAAAGAAAATCTATCCTGATTTCTAAACCATTTTCTGTCTCTGAGGAGAATATTATATTAGGTTACTGTATAACCAGGAGCAGAGCAAACACTGTGAAGGACGCTTCTGAAGGAGGCAGACATTCAGCAGCAAAGAATAAAGAGCTCTCCTCTCTGGAAGAAAATTCCATTTCATTCTGAAAAGAAAACTAAATAGAGGAGGTGTGGCATTTTTATTGTCTGTAGTTGTTGAAAGACATCATTTTACTTTCTGAAGCAGTGATCCCAAACTCACCATTTCTTTGTGTTGCTGGAGGATATTTCCAACTATTGTCGTGTCACTGTTCAGGACTAGAGACAGCCTTGAAAGGTGTTATAGGAACAACTGGTGGTTCTAGCACAGCCAGCCTCACACAGCGGTGCAGTGCAGTTGCTGAGCAGTTGATTAGGGTTTGAACCCGACAGCCACCACTTTTACTTTTGTGACCCAGTCTCTCTACCTTGTAGTTTAGTCATCTTCGAAATAGGAGATCATTAAAAGGGAAATAGCAGGGGAAGCACTTAAAATGACTCCAGATGCAAAGTAAGTGCCATACATGTTAGTGCTTGTGGACACAGTGGTCAGTGTTGGAATTCCTTGCCTGTTTGTAGTGATGTGTGTGACTTTATTTCTTTTCAGAGTTAGCTTGAGTGATGGCAGTGATAGTGAAAGCAGTTCTGCTTCTTCACCCCTACATCATGAACCTCCACCACCATTATTAAAAACCAACAACAATCAGGTAAATTGTGGTGTTTGCATTTTTCAAAACTGCAGAACTAGATGTAATCATTTTATACTGCAGGCAAATTTTTTCTTTCCTCTATCATATTTTTTTATTAGTCTGTGTTTGCAGTACACAATGATTACATTCTTCTTGGGGAGTGGTACATGTGCACAACACATCTTAATTCTTTTTCATCCTTTTCCTTCTCCTTCTTTCCTCCAACCTCCATCTCTTGATCCTCTTCCTTTTTGCAAAAGATCTATCTCCCTATTTCCTATTATCTCCCTTTCAGAATGTTCTTTATTTATATTTTGGATTTCTCCTATAAGAGAAAGCACTGCATACAGATTTTTATCTCCATATTAAGCAAACTCCCTCCTGATGTCAAATAAATGGGAAATTACAACCTTAGGAATAAACACAAGGTAAAGGACTTTTGTTGGCATGAGATGATTCAGTGTTCCACTGAATAGGTTAAGTAGGTGAAAAAAGGATGGTGGCAGAAGTGTTGCCCATTCACTCCTGATTTTTATATATTTTATCCTCAGCAATAAGTAGGTGGCTTAATTAGAATATAATATTTGGGGCTAGTATAAAGTCTAGTTCTCTGCTTTACTATTGGTAATTTACTGGGTGGGAATTAATTTTTCTGACCTTCAGTTTCTTCGTTTCCAAGTAACATGCCTAGCTTTCAGATTATTAGGATAATAAATAATATATGTGAAGAGCATGAGGTGTAGTACACAGAACCTCTTGGCACTTAGGTGATGGTAGATGTTTACTACAATGATGTGTCGGTTTTTTCATCCAAGAAAAAATGATCATCACTTTGGATTATAAGGAATAATTAATAAAATGCAGAGAAAATCATGCTCATTATCATTATTATAAACTGAGCTACAAGAAAGGTTATTAATTTGACAGTCAACTAAAAATATAGTTAACTTGGATAAGGTCTAAGCAGAACTTCAAAGGCCATGACGAAGAGCTTTGTAAACAAATGCATGACTGGGATATTTTTATTCCTTAGTAACATAAACTGTTTTCAGATGTCATGAATATTGTAAAAGCATCATTGTGCGTTGAGTTGATACTCATTACTGTGAAATATTCTTGTCTTTTGGTTTAGGCAGATTTCCTGTGACTTCTACAGTAATTGCTTAATTAAAGTTACCATATGAATATTAATTTGAAAATTAAAAAATGGTGTTTTTCTAGAATTGGAAAGGCTGTTTTATAACGGAAGACCTTTTCTCTTCACGATTTGTATAAAACGTAAGCAGAGCTCTCTCAGTACCTAAGATTCCTCATTTATAGAGTTGTCTGTGGCTCCAGCCCCACTGTCAAGTAGGGATGTAGTCTCTCTACCACCTGGTACAGACCGGATGGATGCCCAGCCTTGCCAATCTCACTCTGCACCCTGCATCCTGCCTCTGCTGTCTGAGCCTCCCATCTCAGGCTGTTGTTTCTCTCCTTTGCAGTGCCACTCTCTACCACAGTCGTTAGCATTTCAAAGTAAAAAGTGGAGGGGCACGAACATCTTGGCTAATTGTTGAGAGCACTAGGATGACTGATAGATAAGTTGGGATCCTTTGGTGAACTTGTGCTTCAGTAAGACCTGGCCACACAACAGCATCTGGACCTCGACTGCATTTTACATTCATTGGAAGACTTATTTAGGTCTTATGTCTGCCACTGGTGGACGATGTATCAAAATTAGGGTACTGGCAGCAACAGTCAGGAGTAGGGCACTGGCTTGTGTGCCCTCTCCAGTCCCTGAAGACAGGCCTTGCTGAGTCCAACACACCCTGCTCCTGTCTTGGCCCCACACACCCTTTCTGCACAGGCTGTCTTGAGCTATCCCTCGCTTAGGAAAAGGTTCAGATTCTTTGTCAACTGTTTTTAAAGTCTGTGCAGCAAAACAAGACCAAAAACAATATCATATATCTGGAGAGGGTGAAAATGAGTGTATCTGATTAAATAGCATGCCTCTTATTCCTTGGCATGTTTATTTGATAAGTGTAGTTTCACCATGTGAATCAACAGTCTACCAGTACAACTCAGTTGTACGTCACTTTCTCCATGCACCTAGAAGCATAACAAGAAAGTTATATGCTTTCACTCTCAGCTAGTTTGGTTTAGGAAGTCTAAGTCTATATAGCATAGGAACACTTAACACCTTGGGCCTATGTTTCGGAGCCAAACAAACAAGAAAAGGTTTTAAAAACTTTTTCCAGTACTAATTTATTATACCCTCACGTCACCTTCATTTGGTTAGATGTAATTATGTCTTTTAGTATTCAGGGACTTTAAAAACAATTATTACCATTTTTTAGAAACCTAAAAGTCACTTAAATTTCACTCTGGAATGTGTTTTTATCTTACATTTGAATGTGTGTGAGAGAGAGCATACACGCACAACACGGAATGGAGGGGTGTCTGAAATTTCACATCACACAAATGGACTCAGACCTACAGGGGAGGCCTGATTCCAAAATGGGATGAGTCTCCTCCCCCATGCTGTTGGACTGAGCTCTTCCTGCAGTTGAGGATCACAGCTATCTGTTGCCTTTTCTCAAATCTTCCAAGGACTAAGGAAAAGGGAAAGTGCTAGTTGAGCCAAATGTGATCTAAACGTACTGAAAAAAAGTGAACACAGAGAACTACATGTCAACAAAGCAAGTAATTAACCTGAGTATTAATTGAAGCTACTGATGATCATTAACAGGAAAAGTCTACCAGGGGAGAATCCATCTGCTGAATAATTGAGTTGTCATTCTGCACAAAAGGATATGGGAAAATATAATCTTGAAATTTTGATTCTCAAGCCATCTCCTCAGATTAAGGACAGAAGTGCTACTAATCATAATTACTCTGTTTCACAGATTACTTTATCAGCGGTTTATCTCAGCAGTCTGGGTGGCTCTGTTCCCCTACCTATAGCGGAATAGGAAATAATGAAGAGTATTGTACTGTTTTAGCCAGAGATGGCTTTTTTTCACAGCAAACCTCCCTGGTGTTCATTTTAAACAAAAGCAAAACCTTGGGCCGCACTAAGCCATGAGTGAGGCGGGGAGGGGGAAGAAGTGAGGAAACTTGAAGGAAGTGATTCATTGAACCCGAGTTAATATTCAGAATATCATAAATCACCCATCAGCCTGCAAGTAATGTTGGATGAAATTAGAGTCCATCCAGTTAAACTGGTTCGAAATAAACCTGGGAGACAAGGTGGTGTACTTTTACACTCTGGAGTCGTTTCCCAAAGATAAGAAAGGATCATAAATAGAACAGTTGTATGTAGCGTGGCTCAGCCCTCTTGGAATGAGGCCATGACAAAGCTGTTTATCTTGGAGCAGGGAGAGATCAAAGAAGGAAGACTACCCGAGCCAGGCTTTGTTCTGCCCCTGGTGGGTCTGGCTTCCGTGCAAGGCTGGGTCTGCGGGCCGGGTTCGCCAAGAGAATGGCGGACTCTAAAGGTAGACGCCGTGCTGCCTAAGCCCGGTCAGTTGCGGGCTGCGGGCTGCAGGCTGCTGCGCTTCCCTGACCTCCGCGGCTGTGCTGGCCAGGAGTGCCACCTACCGGGCGCGTGAGACAGCGCGTTGCAAAGGAGGGCCTTGCCTCTGCCGTTCAGGGATTTTCTTGTGTTGCCAGGGTATTGGAGTTTCAGATTGCCAAGTCAAATCAGTTGTTTAGTTATCTTCATGTTAAAAATTAAGAAATAAGTGTGACTCTCAGGAAAGACTATTGGAAACACACTTCTTACTCATGCATTATTCTCACCTTAGAAACATTTGGTCTTTTCTAGAATGTCATAGTTCTATCTTCAATAAGTAAAATGCTTATTAATAGTGTAAAAATTTAAAGCCGAATCGAGAATCTGGATGTTACCATGTTCATCTCTCTCATTTCATCTTTTAAGACTCCAAAACATTAAATAGGGATAGGACCAGAACTTAAGACTCTAACCCAACATTATGCTCTTGCCACTGCACATTAAAAGTAGACTCGTTCTTAAAATCTTCTTTATGTTATGGAATAAATATTGTGAATAAAGCTGTAGCTGTGTTAGAGCAAGAATAGTAAAGAAGAATAGTAGGAACATGACTCCTTACAGTAAGTCCTTTACACAACATTTCCCTCCTTCGTATCAGTCTCTGTTTACAATGTAGTAATGAGATTTTAATGAAAAAGACAAATTACCTTGCTTTTTGTGTTTATACAGACTAGTAAACATTCATTGTTAATAATTTTATATTCCTAAGCCTTTTTAAGTGAAGGCCATTTAAAATTTATTTCCCTCAGAATCCTCAATTTTGAAGATCCTGTCCAATAAATCAGATGCATTTGTTAAATATTTTCTCCTTTTTATTACTTAGAATCATAGCTGCCTACCAAAGCTTCTACACTATACAGAACTACTGTTCGTAACTTAAATTGTATTTGGTCCAGATAAAATGGCATCTTACCATGCATAATCTCATCATTTCTCAAAATAGAGACTGTGGTCTTGTCTCTGTATTTCTGGAGTTGGAGGAGAAGGTGGTCGGAGTCTCCATCAGTGTGATTGTCCCTTTCATTTTCAAAGCTCCTTTTCGTTTAGTAAATAGGAATGACTGTACAATCTCAGAGTCAGGTGCTGCAGGGGGCGTGTTTGCCTGCTTTGCCCTGGAGTCATGCTGAACCAGCAGAATGAATAGAAAAGAATCCTGCCAGAGGGGACAGCAATCTTGGGATAACTCAGTTGCTGTACACATGTGCGAGAGTGTTGTCACAAAAGAGAAGCAGCCTTGGGAGCTTAGACCAGTTTCCTTATTATCAACTATTTTTTAAAGTTCTATTACTTGGACTCAGCATTTCAGATACAAGTAATTTATTTTGCAAGAGTAAGATTAAAAGAGAAGAAAAATGTATAAAAGGAGAAATGCTACTTGGAAAACAGTGGTATTATCCAACATTTCATTCAGTAAATGGCTTTGTTTATGTGGGTGGTGACTAGCAGGTGCTTGAAATAAAATTTAACCCAGTGTTCTTTTTGATCCCTAGATTCTTGAAGTGAAAAGTCCAATAAAGCAAAGCAAATCAGATAAGCAAATAAAGAATGGTGAATGTGACAAGGTGAGTTTCCAGTCCATAACTGTGAGTGCTGCATCAGTGACAGGGCTTCTTCATTTCTTTGTTTCCCTTGATCACCCTTGCTGGGTCTCCTTCCATCTTCTTTATCAAAAATGCCCAAGATTCCTAGTGATGAGTACTTCATCCCTAGGATTTGTAGTTTATTGTCCTTGTCTTGCTTCAGTATTAAGGTTGGCCTTATGCTACCACTTGCTGTGATACCTACATTGCTGAGGATTTTAAGGGACACTGAGTTGGGGGAGGTAAGATTGTGGTAGAGGTGGACAGTTAAGGAGTCGAGGATGTAAGTGAGCAACATGTCTGACCCCTGTGTGATGCCCTTTCCCAAGGGTGCATCATGTACCTGCAACGACTGCAAGATCGGTGGAATTGAAATCATGCAGTGTGGGTGGGGCCCTAGTATGCTTTGCAGGGCAGGGCAGAACTCTATCATACTTCACAGATTCTCCCCTTGCCTCAACTGAAAATGGTTCTAGGGGTTCCCATGCCATTATGCTAACAAAGACTCAAGAGTCTGAGCATATGGAAAGAGAGGTGTCCTTCCGCCCTTCCAGGGAGCTCTCCACACATCAGGTGCTAATTTGGATAGTGAGTTTTCTTTTTTGGTTTTTGGGGGTTTTTTGGTACCGGGGTTTGAACTCGGGTCCTTGCACTTGGGAGGCAGGCGGTGGAACCACTGAGCTAAATCCCCAGCCCTGAGTTTTGTTTTTCATATGGTATTATTTGTTCTTCGGTCACTTACTGGCATTATTTACTAGCAGTGCTTGCTGTGACTGGTAAGCTCCCCCTTAAGAATTAGCCCTAACATAATTGGTGACGCGTAGTGATACTTCTGTGTTTAAACTTAGTCTTTTTTTCTTAATCAAAAACCTTTTGAGAATAAAGAATTAAAAAATTAAAGTAGTCTGTGATAACTTTAGCCATGAAATTCCCCTGCACCTTGGAGAGGCCTTGCTGTGGGGAGGTGAGTCATGTACTCAGATTTTGTTCAGAGGAAACAGGTGTGGGAATCATCCTCCCTCCCCATCTTATGCCTGGGTGGCTAAGATCCAGCCCAGAGAGACTGGGTTGGTAGAGGCCTTTCAACACTGCGCACGTGCAGCTGAGGCAGAGAGATCACAGGCAGACCCTCTGGCTCTTGCTTAATATGTTATTTATTTTCAACTGCTGCTTAAAGAGCTTGTTTTTTTGGGGCACTCTTCTCTTTCAGGCATACCTAGATGAGCTGGTCGAGCTTCACAGAAGGTTAATGACGCTAAGGGAAAGACACATTCTGCAGCAGGTGAGCAGTCCTTTTAGCACAACTTGCCCTGAAAACCTGTAGGCCTAGTCTATCCTTGGGTGTCACGGTAGCACTTCGAGGCCATGCAGCTCCACGTGATTGGAATGGGGCTCAGGCCACCCAGAAGAATGCTTTGGAGCTCTGTGGTGATTGTCTCCCTTCCCCAGCACTGCAGGCTATGAAGTCTGAGCACTCCTGGAAGCACTGCTAGAGCCAGTAATCCTCCGCCAGCCAATGTTGTAATGCAGGCGGAGGGAGGGGACAGTAGGGAGCAGAAATCTTGGGGACCAAGCTTCTGGTTTCATGGGAAAACAGTGATAAGAATTTGAATCAAGTGCTGTAAACATTAGTGATTCAATTAAGTAACCTTTTGCCAATGCTATTTTAAGGAAAATAAATATTTTCTTCATTTCCCTTATCTTGTACAATGTGTATTCTATTATTATGAACTGAACTGTGGAATGCTTGTAGAGGGGGAAACTTCTATTAGTATATTGTGATGTTTTGAGAAGATAAGAAGGGTGGTTTTTAGTTTTCGTACAGTTACAGTACGTGCCTTTATTGCATTAACAGTGGCTATTGATAAAACCGTGTTTCACTAACATCCGAGACAGCTGTATGTTCCAAATTCCAGAACAGCTTTAGAGAAAGTTTCACTTTTTGAATTTTATTACTTTCAAATGACTTGAAATTAGTATATAATCTACCCCAGCTGTGTGAATCATTTTTTAAATGTTTAATGTCTGATGATTCATATTTATTTTCTGTGTACATTTTTGCCTAAATCTGTAAATACACACTCTCAAACTTGCCAAGCATCCAGTTTGGGCTGATAAGTTCTTGACCCTTCTAGTTTTAGTTTTGAACAAAAGGCTTCACCTACAGACCTGTGATTCGTAATTGTGGGGAAGTTGTGTGGCTCATATTTCCTTTTGCTCGAGCACAGGTGTGGGAGCAGGATTTGAGTAACTTCGCCTCAATCAGAGCTCATAGTTTGCTGATAGAGTTATCTCCTGGCATCCACAGAGCATTGGTGCTGAGCTCCTCACAGAACCAATTCCAAGAGGCTCAGCCTCCTTAGAAGATGGCATAGGGTTTGCATATAACCTATGGTCAGCCTCCCATTCTTTAAATCTGTAGGTCACTTATGATACTTAATGCAATGTAAATCTTTATAGATCACTGTTAGATTTTATTGTTTAGTATGTGCCTATATTGACAGAAATAATGACAAGAAAAAAATCTGTACATGTTTAGTCCAACCCAAGAGTCCCCAGTTATGTTTAAGCAGTAATTGGTTAAATCTGAGGATGCAGAACCAGCAGATACAAAGGAACAACCATATTTTTTTTCAGCTTTCTTTTAAAGAACCAAAAATTGTTCTACCTCCCATTCACCAGTTATTTGGGGCTAATTGAAGGCTGATGGTAAATCTATTAGCTGATCTTCCTACCCCTTCCCAAATACCACCTCTAAATCACCAGGGAACAATTGCCCAATGAAGCCATTAACGCTGAGCCTGAGTTGTGAGCATCACAGGAAGGTGAGACCAGTGTTTGGGCAGAGTTGGAACACCTTTACGATGAAGGCAGAGCCAGTGTGTCTCAGTGGAGCACTGAGCAGGGTCTTACCTCGGGGTATCATTAGCATTCATTATCATCAGCAGTTTAATACTGTCCTTTATGTTGACCTTTGAAAGAACTGTGAGGGAAGGTGGGAAGGTGGCTTACTCAAGAATTCCATCCAAGTGGATTATTTTAATATTCTAGAGGGAGAGAGTAATATCTATGAATTTTTAACCTGGTGTAAAGGCACTCCAGGGCACACAGCATTTCACCCTAATTGCATTCCCAGGCTGATAGAAAGCTCTGTCTTTGGCCTTTTGCCTTGTAATGCAGCTGAGGCTTATGATTATGATACCATGATGCATATCCTGTCACGGTTTACTGCTTAATTAATTCCCATTGTAAAACATAGCACTATTGAGGACTAATGTTATTCTCCACCTTGAGGACTGCTCATCTCATGGAATGCATTCCACAAAGTGGACATCTTCTCTGCCATGCAGACTTTAACACTGGAAGCCAAATGCCTGGTGGGCCCAGAATGGCATCCGTGGTCTTTTCCTGTTAAATGCATCCCTGTCCAAAAATCTGGTCTGAGAATTTTATGTGGCTCACAAAAAGTATTTGGCAGCATTGTTTTACTCTGGAGGCATGCTTTTCTGGCACTCAGCATTTAGTTGAATGAACAGAAAGCAATGGCTCGGGAGAGCTTCAGAGTCACTTTTCATAGTGTGAAAATATAGTATGAAAACACGCAGCTGAAACAAAAGAAGTGAGTGTCTAGAACTGATTGATAATTTGATTCCACATGTTCCACATTTCTTTGTGAAGTGAGGTTGAGTGTTTCTAACCTTCCCAGCAGGGAGCGTGGATCTACATCCTAGTCTGGAAGAAAAAGAATGCTGAGAAAAACTAGGGCTTCTTTAGACAACAGTTAATCAATTTAGGTACCAGCAATTATTCTTTTAGAATTCTCTTTGGGGATTGAGTTGGAGTATTTCTCCTAAACAATACCGAGACTTACTCAACCTGGGAAGTGTTCTGCTGAAAATGACTTCTTCCATCCTGGAATTACTTGTCACGTCTTTACATCTGTGCAGTAGCACCTGTGGCTGCCTCCTCACCCAAGGCAGGCACAAGTTTTCCTGTGGGGGATAAGGCTTCCTTGCCTACAGACAAGACTGTCCTGCCGGACTGACTCTGCTCTATGCATAAGCAGTTAAAGTAAAGCTTGTTCAAGACCTCTGACTCAGTAAAGAGGTAGCTTTGGATGGAAAGAACCCTGGTATTTTAAAATATAGTCCGACGAAAAGTCATGTGTTTACCTTTTTATAATTAAAAATCAGGGTTAAGGGAAGGAGCCACAGATTAACAAGTGGATCTTCTCTTGTTTAAAATAAAACAACCAACAACCTGTGCAGTACCCCTTAAAAGGCTGACATGGCAGGAAATAATCCATCATGTGTGTTTTCACAACAGCCATCATCTGAAGAATGAGTCACAGAGTGTGCACGTTCTTCCCTTTCCACTACCCATGTGTAACCTGTACCCTTGTGTACTTTATTTTATTTTTTCTTAAAATTCTGAGTTTTTAAAATATATTACCAAATAGTTGGCTTTGTCAAAGAACAGATTTAACAATTTAGTGTAAAGATCCTACCTGGCCCTGTTCTGTGACTCTAGAATCATGCAACTCTTCGTTCCTTAAAATAGAATATTCTGATAGGCTACACAGAAGAGCTTCGTTTCATATACAGAGAAAGCTGAGAAAACAAAAATCAGAAACAGAACAAAAATATCAGTGACTTCAGAGTTCGTTTCCTAATAAGATGAAGGACAGGGAGGCAAAACGATAGAAAACTGGTTACTTATGGTTACTTTTTATGAGAATTCGAGGATATAAAGATCAGAGCATAGGGAAGTTTGTTGTCATCTTAGGAGCTTTTCATCTGCAGTTGCTCTTTTACTATTTCCGATGAGCACTATGACTGATAGTGCACCACAGTGAGCCACGCTGCATCAGCAGAGAGGGTTTTCCTAGGGAGAGGCAGAGTGAGGACAGGTGGGGCGTTTTCTGGCCTTGTGGCTGGCGTCATTGGAATAAAGTGACAATGCTGTGTTGCGATGTTCTAGCTATCCTGGAAAGGAATGTGCGTTTATTTTTCTGTAGGCGCTTTTACTTAATTGAGGACACAGATACATGCTCTAATAATTCAAATCATTAATGCTGCTCCCTTTGGCAAATGGTCCCAAGCTCCCCACTTGTGGCACTGCTACTGCTTCAAGACTCCCCATCTACCTTGATATATTCTTTCAGGTTCTCATAACAACGCAGGGCTCATTTAGTTAGATTTACCACGTTGCTTCTGGATCTCCATGCATCTGTGGCTGCAGGCAGGGTGGGTGTTCTGCTGGTGGAGGAAGCAGGAGGCCGGGCTGGACGCCCAGAAACCTACAAGAGTTACCATGCAGATGAGGTGGCTGGGTTGGATTTCCTTGTGGGCAGAAGTGTTTATTTGCTTTAAAATTAAGTGGCTTTTTTCTAGAAAGAACTTTTATTGCCCAGCTTCTATTTATTGTTAAGTAATTGGTGAGCAGCTATATTGAGCCATAGAAAGTTATTTTCTTAAAAGGCTAAGTTCCCTGTCGTTTTAGGAAAATGGAGAGCTCTATTTTTGTTACCTCCAAATTTCAGGTTTACCTGTCATTTCAACTGCTCACCTTCATCTATTCTCCTTCTTCCCCTCTCTCTGAAAACTTTTATTATAATTATTTAAAACAATTCAAGTAGGTCTTTTTGGAGTTTCAGTTTCTGTTCTTGCTTCATTTGCTTTAGTGTCAATCAAACAGCTAAGAGTCACCCTGAGCAGGAAGCAGCAGCACCAAGTCTGATCATCTATGTGCTACCTCCCTGGTAATTAAGGATAAGTTTATATTTATAGTATATGGTAATTATAATCATGGCACCCTGATCTATATAGCAATTTATAGTTTATAAAGAAGCTTTATTTACCATATCTTATTTGATCTGCTGCACTACCTTACATGATTAGAGCATGTATTATCCCCCATCTTACATAAAAGAAACTGAGGCTCAGATGTTATAGTCCAATGCTATCCAAATAGTGAGCAGAGTCAAAATTTGATATGCCAAATTCAGGACTGTATTCTGAATGCTTTGTCACTTACCTCTGGCCAGCTGGTTGGGGAGCTGTCTACTTGGCATTTTCTCTGTTGTATAAATTTGAAATTACAGTAGCTCTGAAGAAGGTAATTTGTTTCTATTTTGAAATTTACAGGCCCATAGCATTTGTATATAATGTAGCAAAAAAGATAATTTACTCAGGAAAGTAGTTTGAATTCAGTCAGTGTTAAATAATATATATGTGATTACCACGAAAGGTTTGTATCTGTGGACATAGCTGTGTGGGTTTTTTTGTTTGTTTTGTGGTTTTTGGGGGGTTTTTTGGTACTGGGGATCGAACTCGGGCCCTTGCGCTTGCAAGGCAGGTGGCGAAACCACTGAGCCAAATCCCTGGCCTTAGCTGTGTGTTTTTACTTCAGAATTATATGGTGATTTATTCAAAACTTTAAAACTATAAACTAAGAAAAACAAATCAGTGCCCATTTTAAGTCTTGCATTAATGGTAAGATTTTGTTTGCTGCATTCCTACCTGAATGATGTGTCCCTTCTAGCAATCCCTGGATGCAAGCATCCGAACCCTGAGCACAGCTGTTTAGGCAAGTAAGGCTCCCCTTTCCTTTCCTCTTCATCATATAACAGCAGGCCTGGAGGTGGGTGATCTGTGGTCAGTTTGGTGGCTTAGAAGGTGCTACCAAGGACACGGTCATGTCCTTCTGCTCTGCCATCTTCCACATGCTGCGTTACTCTTGATGTGAATGTGGCTGCTGCACTCCCAGGGTTGCATATGCACTAGGCAGAAGGCAGAGGCAAAGGGGGGCGGGTGCTAACTGCCCATCACCTTTCCAGCAATTTTCCTGAAATCTTGGGGACTTCTGGCAAATAAATTACAAATAGCAATGTCTGCTGACAAGTGGGTCTGAGGAGGCAAGCTTTTCAGCTGAGCATGTTGCCTCTCTTAGAGTCAGGCTTCTGTTGGCGAAGAAGAAAGGATAAATGGGCATTAGGTCATCAGTTTGCAGTGTCTGTCATGGTTCTGCAACTAACTTTCTGACTTACTTTATTATTAAAGCCATCATTATATCTCAAAAGTAATGCCAGAAATTGGATAAGGCAATAACAGCTCAATCTGGAGTTTCACAATTAATTGGATTAAGACTCTGTATGTCTTTTATGCTTCTGTGGAAGTAAAAAAATACATCAGAGGGCTGGAGATTTAGCTCAGTGGTTCTGCCACCTGCCTGGCAAGTGCAAGGGCCCGAGTTTGATCCCCGGTACCAAAAAAAACATCAGGAATGGAAAGCATCTTTTTTCTAAAGAGCTACTGGCCCATAGGCAGTAGTTTGTAGATGCTTCAAGGAAAATTAATCGTCACAAGAGAAAATTAAAAGCTTCAGTTCTTCTCTTTTTCACCATGGCATTAAATAACCTAAAATGTCATTGAATTAACCATAGGCTAAGTAATTAAAATTATTTTTAGGATTACTGAAACTAAAGAGATTTAGAAACAAGTTATAGAAGGGAAATAACAGGGGAAAATAAGAAGTGGAAGTTTGCGTAGTGTCCATGCTGTGCAAATATTCTTTCTCTTGTCCTGGTGCTGATTGCCACCGCCCCCCACCCCCAGCTCAACCAGTTAGTTCTCTGGGCTCTTCTATGCCCACAGCACATCTTTGTGGACACACACTGTCAAGCGCAGCATCCATTTGTGGTAAGATTATTAGTAACAGGAATGGAAAGACATGTTGTACAATGAAAAAATGTGTCCAACCAGTAATTACCATTCTTAATATTGAAATTTCAGATGGATTCCCTCTAAAGCCAGGGAAAGAGGACAGTACCTGTCACCATTACCATTTAGCACGCCACTTTTCTGTAGGCTGAACCAGTATAGTAAGAAGTGAAGTTTAACTATTCCAAATGAGGAGATACAGATATCTTTTCTTTTTCTACATAAAATGTATCTCCCCAAAATACCCAAGAGAATCAACATGGTGTTAAGTAATTAACTAATGCCACCTTAGTGAACACAATTCTAAGTAATGGATAAATGTTTATATTCATTTTTGTGGAAGTATAACAAGGTGCATAGCTAGATGCATTTTCACAAAGCGGAAGCAGCTTCTGTGATCAGCTCCTGGCTCCTGCAGCAGAACAGCCATAGTGCCCCACAGGCGCCTCCAGCCCCATCAGTTATGTGCATGTCTGCACAAGGTTTCTGTTTAATCTCTGTGTGTTTTCCTGTATTCTGAATTTTCAATAATTACATAATTAGAAAAATGATGTTTTTTGTATACTTGTGTTCTTTTTTAAGAGGAGTTTTGTTATTTCTATGCTGGCATTTTCTTAAATCTATTAAGTATAGTCACTGTTGAGTCAGTCACTAATTTTTTTTTTTTTTTTGGTACCGGGAATTGAACTTGGGTCCTTCTGCTTGTGAGGCAGGCGGCAGAATCACTGAGCTAAATCTCCAGCCCAGTCACTAATTTTTATAAAGCAGTCTTGAAATTTTTTATCTCCCCTAACCACCTAAGTAAAATACTCTGTTGATGACTTGAAAGCAATAATTTTGCAAAAGGGAGGGGGACAAAGAAATGAGGGAGGAGAGTAGGAGGGAAGGAGAAGGGAATAAAAAGATAACTCAGGTATAGTATGAACATACACCAACTCCCTATGATGAATGCATTCATTATGTACTGTAAACATGCAGTAATTTAAAAATAAGAATGTTAAGAAGAAAGCATGAAGCAGTTTATATAGGGTATGCAGTGTGGGACTGGTGAGTGCTTCTACTTAAGAATTTTTCTGTGACCTTCTCTTTCAATTGCCAGGTTGGCAGGAGACAGTTTGGAGCTATTGATACTGTGGGACCTCTGCTATAAGTGATATTTGTCACTTGGTTCCATATCTGACCCCCTTCATCTCTGCCTTTTGCTGCCTATTGCTTATTGCCCAAACTTTCTCCTTTACTCCTTCAGATTGTGAACCTTATAGAAGAAACTGGACACTTTCATATCACAAACACAACATTTGATTTCGATCTTTGCTCACTGGACAAAACTACAGTCCGTAAACTACAGAGTTACCTGGAAACATCTGGAACATCCTGAGGATACAACAACTGGATGCATCAAAAACTATTGTTTTTGGTTTGGTTTTTTTTTGGGGGGGGGGTTGTGGTTTTTTGTTGTTTATATGAAAACACTCAGAATGATGCAACCAAAAGAGAAAAAGTAAAAATCAAACAACCCTCAGCTTTATTTTTCTTCAAAGCCAGTCATCATCTCTTGATAAAGGAGAGGGTAAGCAAACCAGCCTCAGCGGACCACTCTTCTCTCCAAGGAAATCCTGGGAAGAGTTAGCCTGGATAGCCTTGAAAACAAAGCAGACAAAACACAGGAACACTTAGAGAATGTGTACGGGATCATGTGT